TGGAAGTGGCTTCAGGCGGCACTTGTCAAGGGATTCCTGGCCACCCGGCTTCCTCTCTCCTTGAAGCAGGTTATTATATCATTCTCTACCCAGAGCGCGTTATTAGCCATAAATGTATTTACCTACAGAAATATGTCCTTTTATGATGAGGCATGAATATTAAAGAGCGGTGTTCTGGAATACCTGGCCACTAACACGGCAGGATAAAGCCAGTTCCAGACGCCCCAAGGCCCACTCCTGGCCTTAAAGGAAACATCCTATCTTAAGGAACCGCCACAGAAATCTTTAACACTATTTAGCAGTCTCGTCGGAGGGAGTTTGTCTCTCATTTACCAGGAGATGAAATACGTGAGTTTTCGGTCTTTGCTTCTGTTTTATAATTTCAAAGAGTCAGGAAATATTGCATTCACTGGCAATCAATTTATTTCGATTGATAAAAAGGGGTTAATAAAACCCCCTTAGAAATACAAACCAGGTGAAAGTGATATATCTTTCTGGTGCCTTCTTCGGGCTGCCCATAAAGACAGCACGCCGTTTCTTTCTTCCCAGCAAGTCTCCCCGGTTCTCTCTGCCTAGTGAGTCATTTATAATCCTTATTATTGCCAAGCCACACACTAACACGACATCCGTCATATTTCCACGTGCTGGGGGTTTCTCCGTACTGTGGTGTGAGAGTTGAGAGGCACAACACCCTCTAATTTATAGGAAAATCCATGCAAAAGTGGGTTATCAAACATAACCGATGTGACTTCATACACTCGAAAAAAAAAATTTAGGATGAAATATAAAGCGTGCTAAAATTTAATCTCTTGTCGAAGCATAGCATAGCACAGACAGCACACTGTGTGTGACACACAGGGAATGTCACCAACAGAGCCGAAGCAGGGATGCGCTCAAATGAGGCACAATTAATACTTTCCAGTCAAACCTAACGCTGTGGAGTTTAGGAGACACATTTGCGGTTTATTGATATTTTTATTCACCCACAGCACCTGCGAAGAAAATGCAAAGTGACAGATTAAAAATCCCCGCTGTGTACCCAGCAAATGTCTACATGAGGGGATGAAGCGGGGCACGTCCATCGCCCGGTCGGTCGCGTGTAACTCTCGCTTGCGCACCAGTCTTTCAATAGTAAACAATCCTCTATTTATGGTCATCCCTGAAGAGCACACATATGATGTCACTGGCTCAGATCCCAAAGGCCTCCACATAGAGGTATTGTTTAGAAAGCTGAAAAGCAGTGAGTTATTGTTTTTTGCCTTAAAGAAGTATGTCTAGATCATTATAAGGACTGCATCTAGGAAAATCTTGTACTGAACTTGTCATACATTAAAAAAAACAAACAAGAAACCTGAGCGAAGATGCCACTGGAACAAGATCATGACCCTCAGCAAACGGATGTGTGCTGACCTCATAGAGACAGGTGTCCTGCAGATCCGGTCCTCCGGGATGGACACCTGTCTGCCCAGAGTGGACCGGACAGGTTACCTGTGCGCTGCAGAGCTGATCACTGAGGCAGAAGGTGAGGGCCAAGTATGGGCCCGAGACAACACTGGTCAGCTGCTCTGCAGAAACACTGTGATTTGAATAAAGACAAGAGGTGGACCAGTGCCATATTAGACGTCTTTAGGGGACAGGAGCTGGAGGGCGGGGTGCCCCTTTGAAGGCCTCCCCAGGCCCTGGCTGGAGCAGATGCCACACAGCTAAATGCTGAACTCATCATTCACCGGCCTTGCCCTGAGTACCACCTCTTTTATATCCCAAATGAGATAAGAGGACAGTAATTTTTGAAAGAGGCCATTAAAAAATTGAAAGGGGGGAAGGTTAAGTCAGTGGAAGAATAGAATGGCTTTGCAACAATTGAATGAAAACTGTTACTCACTTGCCCAGCCAGTATGGCTTGGTAGTTGAGTGTCAACCTATGAGCCAGGAGCTCATGGTTCGATTCCCAGTCAGGGCACATGCCTGGGTCGTGGGCTTGATTTGATGTTTCTGTCTCTCTCTCCCTCTCTGAAATCAATAAAAATATATATTTTTAAAAACTGTTTTAAAAACCGCAATCCCATCCCCACCACACACACACACACACACACACACACACACACACACACATATGATCCCTTGGCCAGGAGCTGCGCCACTTATGAAAGGTAATCCACAGCTACTCCTTGAAGTTTTGACTCCCCTGGAAGGCAGGCGACAGGAGCAGGCTGTTGTATTCCTGTTTACAGAGGGGGGAACTGAGACTCAGAGATCAACACTCACCCAGCACACATCCTTTAGTTAAGTGCAAACGAAACCCCTGCTGACCCTTTGTGAACTCCAACTGGTCCAGTGCTCAGCTGGGAGAGGCTGGAGGTGGTCACAGGAGGGACAAGGAGCCGGAGCTGACTTTGTCCTGGATGGCAGGCTCACTGAGAACCCAGAGCGCCCCCTTAAGGTAGACCCCTAATCACCCCAATTTGTAACCCAGGGGTGGGGACTGCCAGGTGAAAGCACCTTGCCCTGGAGCTGGAAGTCCCCAGGGGGAAACTGGAACTTGGGTCACCCACCTCCTGAGCCACTTCCCCTGAAGGTGGTGTGCAAGGCGGCGGGAAGTGGTGCACGGAGAAGCAACTTGTAACAGGTATGTGGTAAAGCATACATAACATACAATGGATCATTTTATTTTATTTATTTATTTTAAAAATATATTTTATTGATTTTTTTACAGAGAGGAAGGGAGAGAAAGAGGTAGAAACATTGATGAGAGAGAAACATCGATCAGCTGCCTCCTGCACACCCCCTCCTGGGGACGTACCCACAACCAAGGTACATGCCCTTGACCGGAATCGAACCTGGGACCCTTCAGTTCCCAGGCCGACGCTCTATCCACTGAGCCAAACCGGTTAGGGCTACAATGGGTCATTTTAATCATTCTTCAGTGTACAGCTCAGTAGCATTAAGCACATCCACCTTTTTGTCAACCATCATCCCCTCCGTGTTCACAGCCCTTTTCATTTTCTAAACTGAGACTCTGTCCCCATTAAACAATAGGTCCTCTGCCCTCTCCCTTCAGCACTCTGAAAATCTGAAAATTCTATTCACGGAGAGAGACCACTCTATCCTCTGTCTATTCTAGTACTTCAAATAGTGGAATTGCACTGCATTTGTTCTTTTGTGACCAGCGCATTTCATTTAGCATAATGCAGCTGGTTGCACAATTTCCTTCCTTTTTAGGCTGGGTAATATTCCATGGTCTGTATCTACCACATTTGGTTTATCCATTTACCCATATATGGACACACAGGTCACTCCTACCTTTTGGCTATTATGAATAGTACTGTTTTGAACATGGATATTCTAATCACTGCTTTCAATTATACTCAAAAGTGGAATTGTGGAATCATATGATAACTTTTTAAAAAAAATTTTTGAGGTACTGTCATACTGTTTTTAGTAGTGGCTACATTTCACATTCCCACCAGCAATGCACCAGGGGTCCAATTTCTTCCCATCTTAGCCAACAATGATTTTTTTTATTACAACCCTCCTAATGGGTATGAAGTGGTATCTCATTGTGGTTTATATTTGCATTTCCCTAATGACTAGTGATATTGACCATATTATCATGTGTTTATTGGCCATTTGTATTATCACCTTTGATGCATAAAAGTTTCAAATTTTAAAATAGTTCAATTTAGGTATTTTCTCTTTTGTTGACTGTGATTTTTTTAAAAATTATCTTTATTGTTGAAAGTATTACCTTTGTCCCCTTTTTGTTCACTGTGTTTTATGCAAGACTCCATTGTCATGAAAGTCTCCCTTTTTCTTCCACTGGTTAATGTATTTAACGTTTAAATAACGAGCACGTTAACTATCATTTTATTATTTTTAAAGTTTTAAAAAATTTAAGATATTAAAAATTCAATAAACATACTAAGTAAATAGGGTACAAAGTCCCACTTGTCTTTGAAGTCAGAGTTGAGCCCACTCTCTCTCCCTGCTGCGAACCCCAATACCTGTCATGATGGTCCCCCGGGGAAAGTCTGCCTTACCATTTTTAACAAGTGTCACGAATATCTTTCCTCCAACACGACATACAGTAGGTGTATTTAGAAGGATGTGGTGTAGCTCAGCACTGTTTACCAACACCAGGCACCTGGGTACCCCAGCTCACCATGCACACAGCCAGAACCCCACTCCCCAAGGTCTGGCGGTGAGGCCATGGTTTCCCCTTGTACACAATCCAAGGGCCCCGCAGCGCTGCCCTCAGCCAGCAGAGAAATACTGGCCCTAGAGCAGCGGTTCTCAACCTGTGGGTCGCGACCCCTTTGGCGGTCGAACGACCCTTTCACAGGGGTCGCCTAAGACCATCCTGCATATCAGATATTTACATTACGACTCATAACTGTAGCAACATTACAGTTATGAAGTAGCAACGAAAATAATTTTATGGTTGGGTCACAACATGAGGAACTGTATTTAAAGGGCCAGAAGGTTGAGAACCACTGCCCTAGGGTCTCCGGACCGGAAGCCACCGTGCACCTGGCCAAACAGGGCTGGAGACCGTGGAGTCACCCCGCAATTGTCCTTGCCAGCTCCCGCCAGGAAGTGAGGCCACCTCACTAGGACTACAATTCCCAGAGACCCCGCGGTCTCGCCCGTTCTGATTGGCTCACTGCGCCTTCTATCAGCCAACCAGCCAGGAAGGTGGCCAATTACGAGGGCGAGAAGGCGGGAGCTCCTCCCTCCGATCCAAGGTCTACAGTCGAAGCGTGGTGGGTCCCTTAAAAAGTTAAATTCTTCCGACCTTCACGACCGATTCAGTGATTGTAGAAGCGATAGGCCGGCCCTCGTTGCAAAATAATGGCCTGGGACAGGCGTCCCTTAAGTCCAGAAGACTCTGGTCTCCGCTACTCCTGCCTGAAGCGATCGCCCGGCAGGATTCGAGTGGTCCGGCGGAACCCCGCCCCCATTTCTCATTGGCTCCCGCGGGACACGTGGAGGTAGAGGGCGTGGACGCGGCGGCGTGGGCGGGGCGCCCGGCGTCTGGTGGAGATGATAGATAGTCCCGGGGACTCGGGCCTGTGGGTCGCATGGACACCCTGGCGCTGGGCCGGTGGCGTCGGCGGAGGCCGGAGGAGTTGCAGGTTCCAGCAGACGCGGTGAGCCCTCAGGGGCCTGGGCGTTGGGAACGGGAAGGCGGTGTCCTCGGGCTGGCCCACAGTGGGCTTCGCGTCTCCTGGCGGCCTCTTCGGTGAGGCGCCCTGCCTGGCAGCTGCCTGCGCGCACCTGTTGGGGCGGGGCCAGAGGTGGGCGGGGCCTGGGGTGGGCGTGGTCATCCCTCCTGCCGCGCCTGCGCAGAAATCAGGACTCGTTTGCCGCCAGACCCGCACGCTGTCCCGGCACTGGGAGCCCAGGGTCCCTCTAGGTGCGCGGGCCTCCCCGCATGGCTGGAGGACTTGGCGTCTGGGCCTGGGAGGGGCGTTCCTGCGCCCCACCTCCACGTGCAGGCGCCGGGCTGCTGTGGCAGGAGTGCTGGTTGGGCAGACGGGTCAGTCCCGCCTGGGTTGAGTGCTCTCACGGGAGAGAACCGGGTGGGAGGTGATGGCGTGGGTGGGTGGTCAGGTGGGTGCGAGACTGGGAGGAAAAACAGTGTAGGACGCGGGAAGGCACCTCCCCTTTCCGGGGACGGAAAGAAGTCTGTGGGGTTGAAGCGGGCAGCACTGGCATCCTTGCCTCTGTCCGCGGATTGCTGGCTCCTCGCCACCTCGGTGAAGTCTCGGTTCTGCCCCAGAGCGTGGGCCCGCTGCCTGCACACCCAGCGTCGAACGTTTTCCGGTCTGCTTCTCCTGGACCTACAGGCTCCAAGAGACAGATCTCTCCCGAGGTAATGCGGAAGGCGTTTTCCAATGTTCCGCACAGTAGGACAGGTGGCTTACCTTTCTACCCTGCAGCCTCTCTCTGTTTCCTCGCCACCCACTCACTGCTGGATCAGGAGGCCAGCATCACTTACATCACAGCCACACCCCACTTCCAGGGACCATGTTACTAGGGCACAGGTGTAGCTTCTGTAACAGGGCGACTTCATACCACATTGGCTCAAACAAGTTGGATGGATTCTCTCCCTTAACAGTATAGAGGTGAGCAGTCCAGGACAATGGAACATGGGTACCCTACATGCAGGTATGAGACCGCTGATGCCCAAATCAGAGACACGCAGGGAGGCCAGCTCCTTCTGTCCCAGCACTGCCCCCCCCCCGCCCCCCTCCCCCTTGAGTGCTGTCCCCTTCCGTGAGGTCAGCACCGGCTCATCACTACAGTGCTCACCTTCCAGACTGGGGGGTCCATAGTCAAGTGACGGGATCACACTGCCATTTTAAGAGCTTATCTGGCGGCTCTGTGGGAACTGAAAGGGGTGGTGGTCAGCAGGAAGGTATGGGTTGAGTACATAGGGAGGCAGCAGAGACTTGGCCAGAGGACGGTGACATGGTGAGAGTAGACAGCAGTATGTTGTGGAGGAAGAACGGACAGGTCCTGCTTATGGAGTGGATGATTGTTAGGATCAAATGAGAGAACAAATAGGGAAACACCCTAAACCGTAGTTTGTTTGTTTTTGATGGGAAGGGATGTTTATTAGGTTCTACCTGTTGTAAGTAAATTTGTATACCCGCTTTCCTTAGGACTCTCAATCTTAATCAGGAATATAACAGATTTATGTTGTACTTGATAAATACTGCAAGCCTAAGATTACCCCCCAATAAGTATAGTATGTGCATTTATGTATTTTTACTGTCATTCGAAATACAAGTGTTTTTTCTTTGCTCTTCTTTGCTTATCTTCTTCTAGATAACTCACTCTCATAGAATGAAGTTGGCATTCTTACTTCGGACCACCGGCTTGCCTTATCTCCTCATAAGTGTCCTTCTCTCTGTCAGGCTAGATTGGTCCAGAGCAGCGGTTCTCAACCTGTGGGTCGCGAACAATGAAAATACATCCTGCAATCAGATATTTACATTACCATTCGTAACAGTAGCAAAATTACAGTTATGAAGTAGCAACGAAAATAATTTTATGGTTGGGGGTCACCACAACACGAGGAACTGTATTAAAGGGTCGCGGCATCAGGAAGGTTGAGAACCACTGGTCCAGCGTGTGGACCTGCACAGGAGGTTGAGTGTGGCTGTGTACAGGACGTTGAGTCTTAAGGCATGGTCAGAGCTGGAGAAAGCACAGCATCAAGATACTCAGATTTGGTTGACGTCCTGTATGCCCTGATAACATGGGAGTTGATGGCGGGACTCCTAATTTCTGGTCTTCTCTGTAGTTGACATTGTGCCAGATTTCACTGTGTTGTAGAGCAAACCTCCCAAGTGCAAGGTCATTTTCCAAATGAAAGTGTCATCGAGGAGGGATCTTTGCTTGATGGAAACCATGCTCTCTTTCTAAATGGCGGTCTGTAGGGCCTTATTAATCTTTCTCATCAGCATTAACCGTTCTGTACTCAGGGCTGATGGACGTCCGTATCAGCTACTCCATATCAGCAAAAGTAAACTTTCCTTACTGTGGTAGAATTAAAACCAAACTCAACTAAAATCCTCACTCAGCAAACTGTTTCTAGCAACTAGGATTCAATTAGCCAGCATTACACATTTATAATACAAATGAATAAAGGCCATTAGTCAGTAAAAACCCTCAAATCCCTTCAATCTGAAAGGTTAGATGTGTGTGTGTGTGTGTGTGTGTGTGTGTGTGTGTGTGGAGACTTACCATTAATTACATTACTGAGTTCTAATGATTTACCTTGGTATTCTAATTCATGGTATATATGCTTAACTCATATATTAGCTTATATATTATATACGTTCATTCAAGGTGAACGTGGCTTTTTCTCGCTGTGCCGATTGAAGCGAATGCATGGTGCTCTCTGTCAGTGTTCAAGGGAGTCGGTATCTGTTTTCTTTACTCTCCACGTTCTTCTCTAGTGTGGAGTGGAAAATGGGTTCTGGAGGTGGCAGCCTGCCGGGTTCAGCCTAGCACGGCTGGTACCGGCCTTGCTCTGCGTGCCCCGTTCTGGTACCGTTCATTGGCTCCCCAGGCTCGTGGGGAATGCATCTCCAGTCTGATTGCTACGCGGGCTCACTCGCATCAGCACGGAAGCCGAGGCTTTGAATTTCATTTCTGCCCAAATGTGAAACCCTTAACCCCTCCCTTCCCCTCCCCCCTCCGCGTCCACTCACCCAGCTCCCTGGGCCCCATCACTTCCAATAAAGAAGCACGTCCTCAGCAACACAGGCGCGGCCGCACCTCCTCGGCGAGGGCAGCGTGTCTCTCCCAGGCCTGTCTACTTTGTTCCATCATTGAGGCAACAGGATACATATCTTCTGTTTTAATTTATGCGTCGTATCAAGTGTCTTCTCTTCATCACATTCCTGCTTCAGTTATTCTCCGGCGAGGTTGCTGTTCGATTGATCTCCTTCAATTATTGTTAAGTAGTGGGGTCTTCGTGTAGACGCGGGGTTTTAATTTTGTTTATACAGTGCGAGTGTCTTTATAGTCGGGCAGTAAATCTCCGTCTGCCTTATGAAGGCTGACAGAGCCTCGCTAGAAGGGAGGGGGAGAGCCGAACACAGGCATCCGGCATGAGAGGCCTCTGCAGCCTTCCTTTTGCTGTGGTCCAGGCCAGCCCGCGATGGCCCGCCTATTTGCCGAGGAAGTGTCCAGGTCAGTCTCGTGCAGTCAGCTCTCAGTAATCCACAGTAAATAGCAGCACACATGAATAATTTAATCCATTCGGCTGACTGAGGGCCATCAAGCCGGTGATCCCCACGTTCCCTGGGGAGCCCAGCCTTAACCCAGCACCTTGGCGTCAGCGTGGGACCTCCTTTCACCTGCCACAGAGGTGGGAAGCTGGCCTCCTCGGCCACCTGAGCCCCTAAGAACCTCGGCTTGTCACCATGGATACTCACCAGTCTGCTGACCTTCACGTGCCAGTTGTGCTGTGGCCCCACCCAGAAGTGGTTGAGATGTCATGGTGGAGCGCGGGGCATGTCGCAGAGGCAGTGCTTCTGCCTCCCTTCCCCCACCCCTGCCCCGCGCTTTCCTTCTCAGCAAGTCTGACGGCACTCAAAAGGCAGGGACAGAGTAGGAGTGCTCATTGCTGAGTGATGTCGCTGATGGAAGGTCCGCGCCTACGTATAAAATGGCAGGGGGCCTGTGGCATTTCACTGCTTCCCTTTAACACAGATTCTTTTTAATTGAATATTTTTTGTTGGAAGTGTTACATCTGTCCCCCTTCCCCCCCATTGACCCCTTCCAGCCTACCCCCCCCCACCCCAGGCCTTCATCACCCTTTTGTCTCTGTCCGTGGGTTGTGCTAACACGGATTACTGAAAGCTGACAATAACCCAGTTTTAACATGTCACACCTCTTTTTTAAATTAAATTTATTGGGCTAACAGTGGCTAATAACATCATTTAAATTTCAGGTGTCCGACTTTATCATGGAACATCTGTTCTGTGCTCACCACCCAAAGTCCAGTTTTCTTCCTCACCACGTATTTGACCTCCTTTACCCTTTTTTAAAATTTTCGTTTGAATTCTCCTTGGGTACTTTACACTTTATCCTTCATTTCTGACGTAATTTCGTTTTCCCCTTCCATTACTTTCCTGGGTTCATTCACCGCTTTCCTTCTTGCTCCCTACTTTTGTCCCTTTCTGTTTTTAATTGACATCTCTAATTCAAGGTGATTTTCGTCTCCAGTGTTTGCTTGAATACGTTTAGTTATGTTTGCAGAGTATTGAACTACAGTTTTCTTTTGGTTCATGGTGGTTTTTTAGGAGGGAATTTCTATAACATTGGTCTTTCTACAAGATCCTGGTCTGATGGCACCTGGTCCAGTCAGTGCAGCTGCTGTGCGCGCGCGTGCGTGTGTGTGCGTGTGTGTGCGTGTGTGCGCGTGTGTGTGCGTGTGTGTGCCTGTGTCTGACGGGAGGGCGTGAGCCTCCTGATATCGTGGTCCTCTTTACTTGTAGGACCCGAAATTTTCCCTGCTTTTCTTCTTTTTATCTTCACCACCAGTTGCCAAAGGGCACGTCGCCCTCCCCTTTCCCCTGCTGGCTCCCAGGAGCTGTGAGTTGTGAAGAGGCCTCTTTACATGGCGTTTGCTCCTTAGAATTGTGTGGACTTTGCAGTCCCTTCCCTGCGTCCATGCTCTGGGCCCCGCAGGGACTGTCATAGCTCTTTCGTGGTTGTAGTGGCCTCTCCGGGGCCATGGAGACGGCTCTCACCCTGTGTTAGTGGCTCCTCACAGAGCCCGCCTCAGTGGGGGTGGGGGAGCCCGGGACCCACACTCAGATTTGGTGGTGTTTCTCTTTGTACCAGTTATTCATTGTGGATTATTCCTGTTGTGTCACTTAGTACTAGCAGACTGTGATGCAGACTTTGGCATCCTCTGTCTTTAAGTTTTGCTCGGGGTGTGGTTTGGTGCAGAATTTTGAGTTTCTCAGGCTTTAGTTTCCTGTCACTTGGGAAGAACTGTAGGAGTAGGTAACTGTGTACCCGCCCTTGTCTTCTGCCACCTAGAGGTCAAGCGCTTACCCCAAGAAATGACTCCAAGTGGCTTAAGGGTCTCACTTTAATCTCTACGTATCTGTTTTAAGGCATGTTAGAGAACAGTAGAACCAGCAGCCTAAACCTATGAGATAAAGCTTCTATTGAATAAATCCATTAAGTAAAAAGGTGTCAGTTTAGAAAATATTAAATAAATGACAGTACAGATAATAAGTAATTTGGCACAAATCATGATGCTGGTTTGCAAGTGACTGAAGAAGTTGTAGCCACGGGTGTCACGGGCAGGCGCTGTCTAGCAGCCGGGCCTGCAGGCTGCCCAGGGATCCAGAGACACCGCTGGGGCTGGGCAAGGCAATGGCATCTGACTCGGTGTCGTGCGAGCGGTGCCCTCACAGCACACAGCCTTGGCACTCTGAGAGCGATGTTTCCTTTAGCTTCAGGGGATTGCTTTGGTAGTTTACCTTTCGCTCAAGTGGAAGCAGAAACCAAATGCTAACTTTCCCAAAGGTTATCAGTTAAGACTGTGTGTGCAACTTTTGAAATAAAATGAACTGGGTCTTCGGTGCCCGTAAGAGAAAGAGTTATTCATGTGTGGATTATTCCTGCTGTGTCACTGAGTACTGGCAGAATGTGGTGCAGCATAAAACTAGTTTCTTGAGCAAAATTTATGGGTCTTGTACGTTTTCAATATCAATAAACCAGTCACAGTAGTTTATGACAAGATTTTCTGCTCAAATTGTTAAAATGACTGTTTTAAATCTGTAAAGCTAAGTAAATATCAGACAATTTAGGAAATAATGAGGTTAAATGTAATTGATGGCAGTTATTCCTGAAGATAAAGTTTAAAGTCATCCCCTCAAATGTCCTATAAACTTTCCCAGCTCCACAGGGTCTGTATTTGCAGCTGAAGTTTTCAGGAAGCAAATTTAATTAGCGTTGTGTGCTTTACGAGGCCATCTCAAGTGAAATTTTGTTCGTTTCAGAAGCGGGTGTGCAGGAGCCTCGAAGCAGCTGCGCAGGAGCGGGGCTGTCCCCAGGTGAAGGCCGGCGCCCTGGTGTCCTGGGGCAGCCCGGAGCTGGAGGCGCAGCCGGGAGGCCTCCCTGCGCCAAGGCCAGCCAGAGGCCAGGGGCCACCAAGTGCGGGGGTAGGTTCCTGTTCCTGCCAAACCAGCTGGGAACCCATTTAAATATTCTAATAAAAAGTGTAAATAACCGTTGTTCTGATCCATCTGCGCCTGTGATTTGTCAACCAGGTCCCTCCGACCGGTGGGAGGAGCTCCGCCCAGCCCTGCCCGAGATGTATTGCAGGGGAGTCTGTAAGTGCATTCACCTTCTTGTGTCACATAAAGGGTAGACTTGTTCTTAAATATTAGATCCATAAAACAAAGTTAATAAAAAAGGCAATTACGCTTCTAAGGAATGAGGGATGTAAATAAAAAGGTGCCGCTTGATTTAAGCTTTTCTTAGCATTCTACTGGGGTGCAAACTAATTTGTCTCCAGCTTCAAGTTGGAAATAGAAATTGCAAATATGTTTAAAATTCTTTTTAAAAGCAGGGTTCAGGGAAGGGAATTGGAGGACATCTGGGAAGAAAGGCCTGCCCTCATTTAAGTATCCAAATAGGAATCAGTGTTGTTTTTTCTCATCTCTGATAAGCTTTTCCTTCATGTTTCCATAAACTTCCCATAAACCAAAGATTTCAGGAGAAATGCAATATTCACACCATTAATTCAAAGTCAAGGGCGGTCTAACACTGCCAGGGCCCGGTTCTCAGTCTCCTGTGTCAGGCGGAATATCATAAAGTATACATTAGCATAATCATGCCTTGGTTATTAATTTTGAGCTTATTCTAAGAACAAGTTAATATATCTTTGATAACCTCTGTAATTCTTGGGGGTTTTTCAATTTAAAAATTGGAATCTTAATATTGTAATAAAATAGAATTATGTTTAATTTTACATAGAAACCAGGAGTGTGTGTAAGTGTGTGTGTGCGCGCATGTCTGTGTGTGTCGTCTGTGTATATCTGCTTTTGCTCCCTAAAGGTTTTTACAGAAGCACATTGTTCTGATTTTGATAAGCAAAAGATTGAGTCAACGAATTAGACCTTCAATTGACACATTGCAAGTTATTATGTTTTACAAGGATAGGCAACGATTTTGTTTTAAACCAAGAACTGAAAGGGTGTTAGTTGTCACCTGCGTGCCCCTCTGCTCATGTGGAGTCATGAGTCAGGTATGAAAACAAAGCCCCGTGTCAGACCCGCCCCGAGAAGGCGCGCTCTTCTGCCTCAGTGCTGTCCTTAGGAAGCTCTGCCCTCACAGCGGGGAAGGCCAAGAGCCAGCACCTGAACTTACTCTGTGTAGGATGGCTCACGCGACTGCCACACACACCACGCAATGCAAAGAAGTAATATTTACCTTGAGAAATGGGACCCTTTCTGGGCCCATTGCTTATTGCTGCCGCCCTCCCTTCTCATCCAATTTCAGTGTCTTCCAGACCCACCCGTGGGGCACACACTGGGCATGAACCGTGGATCTCTGTGCTCTCAGAGCTGTGCGCTGGCATGAGTGGCTTAAAGGAAAAAAATTTGGCTCAAGCAACTGATTGGATCATTTTGGCTAATATTCTGTTTGAACAACAGTACCTATTTGATTAGGGTTTTTCCTTCCTTTGTAATTCCCCAAGCTCGCCTCTGTTCGGTTTCATAGGAAATGAGTCTATGAGCAGAAAACCTATATTGATATGTAAATATATCAGTTTTTGGTTAATGCTTGATACTCTTTTTCATCTAAATTTCAGAAACCGACTTTAAAAAAATCAGTTTCTCTCTATTTGTAGTTATTTTCAATAAAATTTCCCCCAGCCTTGGGTGATTTAATATTTACACCCACTATTTCTAAAAGTCTTATGTAAATAAAGATTGAAATATGAATTCGAAAAGTCACACCTCTTGATATTTGAACAGACTCTAGCTGCATATATCTTCTTTTTCTAATAATATGGCTACTTTCCCTCCTAAGCTTTTAAAATAATAAGACACTATTTTTGCATTTTAGAACATTGAAAGTCCAGTGTTAAATAAAAAGCAAATAGTATTTTTAGCGATGCAGGATCCCAGGGAGCAGTGCTTAACGCAGATCACCGGTGGGTGTAGCCCTGCATGTCAGACGGCTTCATTAAACATGCCATGCCACGCACCAGGCCCTGCCGTGCACCAGGCCCCGCCACGCACCAGGCCCCGCCATGCACTATCCCTGCACGCACCAGGCCCCGCACGCACCAGGCCCCGCCATGCACCGTCCCCGCACGCACCAGGCCCCGCCATGCACCGTCCCCGCACGCACCAGGCCCCACACGCACCAGGCCCTGCCATGCACTGTCCCTGCCACGCACCATCCCTGCCATGCACCGTCCCTGCACGCACCAGGCCCCACACGCACCAGGCCCCGCTATGCACCATCCCTACACGCACCAGGCCCCGCCATGCACCATCCCTACACGCACCAGGCCCTGCCATGCACCAGGCCCTGCCATGCACCGTCCCCGCACGCACCAGGCCCCACACGCACCAGGCCCTGCCATGCACCAGGCCCTGCACACACCAGGCCCTGCCACGCACCAGGTTGCACCAGGCAAAAGTGCCTCCCACCCAGGCCCCATCCCCACCACTGGCCCAGGGGTAGTTTGTGTGGGATTCTTAACGGGGATCTTGTGTGTGATTGTGAGCTTATTTGGTGCTTTTCCCCCCAAACCCCTTCACATCCTAATTCCCTGGTATGGCTCTGACCCCAGTGGGATATCAGCTGATCAGTTCTGCCTTGAATTCTCCACGTGGCTGTCTCAGCTCGGTGCCCGAGTTCCTGTCCTCCTTCTGTCCCTAAGCTTTTCCTTATTTTTTTTTTTTTAATATATCTCACTGATTTTTTCACAGAGAGGAAGGGAGAGGGATAGAGAGCCAGAAACATCGATGAGAGAGACACATCGATCAGATGCTTCCTGCACCGCCCCGCGCCCCCCCCCCCCCCCCCCGCACTGGGGACGAGCCCGCAACCACGGTACATGCCCCCGACTGGAATCGAACCCGGGACCCCTCAGTCCGCAGGCCGACGTTCTATCCACTGAGCCAAACCGGCTAGGGCGCTTTCCCTTATTTTTATCATAAGTCATTTCTCACAAATGCAAGGTCTTGACTGCTCACATCTGCCAGGATCTTCCCCTACCTTCTCATGCTAGGTCGCTGTTATAAGACACTATTTCAGTAGTAGCCGATGTTGTTTATAGTAGTCACTGTTAAGGTTGAACTCATATGTATTGTTATTTAGAAACATCTCTCAGCGAGTTCCTCTGCTCGTGTTACTGACAGTTGGAACGAAACCGTCCTCTACTCACGTGGTAGGACATGGTATTACGTCACTCGGGGTCTCTCCACGACACCCGGCCAGGCTGCCCTCGCTCTATGCACCATCCCATGCTGCCAGTCTGGAAGCAGTGCCAGTGGCCGCTGTCATTGGCAGACTTCCTCTCCTTCCTCAGAGGTTCCAGAGCTGGACCAGAGCCTTGCAGCAGGCTTCCTTTCTCGGGCCAGCTCAGCCCAGAGCGTCCCAAGTGTGACCAGGAAAGCACACCATTCTTTGTAAAGTCAGACCCATTAAACGAAACCGAAGGAGGCTGCCAGAACTCTCCAGGACAATCAAGAAAGATACACGAAAGGGGTGGCATGACAGGTACATGAGAAGGGGTGGCCTTGTAAGACAGAAACCCTGGGAAGAACAGATTGGGGTGGTAGTTGAGGGACAGGTCTGTATTCTCAGCACCAAGTGTTGGAGGGGATCTGGCCCCGGACACTCTGTCGCTCCTCTGAGCGGGAGCCTTTCAGGGAAGGGGCCACCCTCAGCTGTCACTGGGTCAGCGGGACAGGCAGTGGCCTGCTTTCTCTCAGTGCCACCCCCCCAGCTTTGGGTCCCCTGCTCGGTATTGCGGAGGCTGCATTTCTGGCCTCCCTTGCTCTGGTTTCTGACGCTGGACACCAGCGTGGTTGGAGGGGTGGCAGCCAGAGCATTTCTCCCTCCTTCTTCCTTAAGGGCCTCTCAGCGCCTTTCTCCAAGGCCCTGGCTCCCGCAGAGGGGTCCCTGTGGTCCCAACTCTGCTGGCCCTCGCCGCCCAGGGTGGGCGTCCCACAGTGGGGGTTGTTGTGTTGCCGCCCCCGCCCTGTGTGGCTAAGATTTCTTTCACCATTTGTGTCCTTGAATCCCATGCTCAATTTCCTGTGTTGGGAATACCTAGATTGGACCTCACCTGGGCTAATCAGCTAATGCACGGACAGATTTCCCTGGAAAAGAAAAGAAAAGATAGCGTGTTTTGTTTTTGTATTTGTTTTTAGTTAATCCTTGCCGGGGTCCAACCCCAGCAGGTCCAGGGGTCCCCAAAGGTGTGGACGGAGTCGGCGAAGAAGGAAGGACACGGAGACAGCGTTCAGTTGATCAGCAGCCTAGCCAGGATCTCTAGCCAGGATCTCCAGCCAAGTTCTGGTCTGGATCTCCAGAGAAGTTCTGCTTCAGATCTCCAGCCAGGTTCTGTGTCCATGTTCTCTTGCTAGGTTCTCCAGCCAGGTTCAGTCACCAGGTTCTAGTCAGGTTCTCTTGCCCATTTCTGTAGTCAGGTTCAGTCCAGGATCTTTTGCCATGTTCTCTCCAGCGAAGTTCTTCTGTCTCTAGTTCTGTGTAGGTTCTGTGCCTAGGTTCTGTCTCTCTTGGTTCCGTATTCTAAGTTCTGTGTCTTGCTGTCTTATTACATCTGTATTTATACCAGTTGATTCAATCCTATCAATCTCTATTACAAAGGTTAGGGCGTTTCTTATCTCCATTCCAGGGAGTAAAGATTATGTAGCTCAAGCATGATTGTTCGTAGTTAAAGTGATTAATTACCCACCTGGCACTAGTTAAGAGGTTTTATTCCCTCCCTAACTTCAGGGGAAAATCCCTACCTGGGGAAACAACCTTTCTCAGAGACCTTGGTTAAAACACATAGTGCCAAGAAGGTGAGCAAACATTAAGAACAGTATGCCATATATGCCGGTCCCTTGAAACAGCAAGGATGGACCGGCTCCCGGCAAATCCTCACCTGAGGATATTTTTCCATTGATTTTTTTTTTTTTTTTGAGAGTGTGGAAGGGAGAGCGAGACAGACAGAGAGAGAAACATTGATCTGAAAGAGACATATCAATCAGTTGTCTCCCGCACGTGCCCTGACCAAGGCTGGGGATCTAGCCTGCAACCCATGTATGTGCCCTTGACTGGAATAGAAACCCAGACCCTTCAATCCGACGACCAACACTCTATGCACTGGGCCCACCTGGCCAGGGCAGAGACTGCGGTTTTAAACGCAGGCCTCCGGGCCTTTGTGCCTCCGCTCAGGCTCAGGGTCTTGGTCTGGGCTCAGCGTGTGGCGTGTGGCAGAGCCGGTCCTGGCTGTGAGTCACACGGGGGGGTGTTACATTGAAAACTACAGTCAGGCCCCTACTCTGGCCCATCACTGGGGTTCCTTCACTTGCTTTTATCTGGCCTTAGTGGGCGTTACTGCCCAAACTGGAACCCAGTATGGGAACCATGATTGTTGGATTGCTGACCAGCACCCCACCCCCACTTCCCAACAAATTGATTTGTGATCCTAGCCTGTGCTGGGGGCTGAGGGCAGCTGCTGAGGGAGTGGCCTTCATCAGCCGCTGTGCTGTTCACTGTGACACTCACTTTTCGACTCCATTGCCTGATGGCGGGGGTGGGTCACTGCAGGGGGAGGAATCGAGGGCAGGGGAGGGGGTGTTGGTTCGTTGTTGCCCTGTAGGCGCAGCAGGAGCCGAAGCGTGATGATGACTCTGATTCTAAATGGACATACATTTTTTTATACTTTTATCTCCAAGTGGGTGACCTTTAAAATATTTGCTTTATTTGTTTGCCTGTCTGTCTCATTGGTGATTGCTTTGCACGTCTGCAGCATCTAGAAGCACGGTAGCAGAGCAGGAGCGGGCCCGGGCCCGGCGGAAGCAAGGCTGCCTGTCTCCTGTGCCCGCCTGTGCTCGATACCGCAGGCCCAGGTGTCAGGCCGGGACCAAGGCCAAGGAGGGAAATGTGATGTCCTGACATAGATTAAGAGAGATCGATGTGCCGTGGTTCACTCCGTGTGTCCTGTTTCAACAGCTAGTTCCTGTCAGGCCTTTATTCTTACGTCCTGAGAGAAGAAAACGCAATCATGGAGTTATCAACGGGATTTCATTGATCATTCTGTAAGAATGAAATTGTGCTCTGTGCATTTCCCCCCTCAAGGTGTCAGGGATCCTGAGTTCATCGGTCTAACCCCGTCAATTTAGAGATAAGGGCAATGAGGTCCACGGGGGTTAAGTGATTGGCCTGCCGTGCGGCGTGGTTGATGGGGAGGCTGGCTCCAGCACGCACTGCGCCCGCCCCTCCTGTTCTTCTTGGCTGGTGTGTGTGTTTACAGCCAGCGTGCCAGCATCACTTCCCAACACTGGGCGCAGCGGCCTGCTCTGACACCCCAAGAAGGGCAGCAGGGAGACGGTGGGTCTTCGTGGACCTCATTCCCAGACACAATGAGAGCTGCTTGGCTCAGACGCAGAGCTGAATTATTCAAACTGTGAGCGAATGAGCTGGCCAAGGGGAAACTTGGGCTGTGCCAGTGCAGCCAAATGTGAATCCCAAAATAGATGCTTGTGAATAGACTCACTGCCACAATCTTCTGATGGAGCTTCTGATAGTGAATGCTTCCTCTGGAACGTGGGTCCCAGAAAAATAGTGTTATTAACCCCTAGAGTGCCGGGGAGTGTGATCGCGCTCCTCCTGTCTTTCGCCAAAAGTGCCGGGAGCGCTATCAAAGCTTCGAAATGGCGTCCAGTTCTAAGTCTGCTTTTATTAGTGATGATGATATTGCTAAATATGTCAGTGTAGTAAAGGTTTCCTTAAGTTTTTGAATATGTAACTTCATTTACTTGCGATTCATAATTTTTTTTCCTGAACTGCTGTAAAATCAGCAAAAATGCCTTGGCAATTTTAGCATAGTTCCTAGGATATTGGTTGGCACACAAAGGGTTAAAGAGGGTTAACTTAGATCATTGCTAGGCTCTGAAGGAAGAGAGCCTTCAGATGATAAGACGAACAAAACAAAAACCTTTCTCTAGGAGTCAAATGTTACTCTATGAGGAGATGGTGGAATGGAATAAAAGAAAAGTTAGCACTTTAAGAAAAATGCAGTTTAGACTTCTTATAAGCATGTTACACTAAGCTAACACAAAGGTGTCCCTCCTGCTCGGAAAACAGGAAGTGAAGTGCATAGTTAATCCTGTAAGTGAAGAGGGAGCACAAAGCACACCCCTCGCCGCTGTCCTCAGTCTTGGCCTTTGCTGGGTTTGGCCCAGGATTGGTCCAGGGGCTGGGGGCTAGGATTCTAATTCCCAGTGGAGGTGTGGGAGCCAGAATTTGCATAAAGCTCAGAGCCTTGAAGACCTGTCTGTACCTTAGGGCTTAGAAATTCAAACACCAGCCGTGCATGGGGGTGGGTTCCAGTTTTAGTCTGCCTCAGCAGCACAAGAACCAAAAGCCAAACATTAGCATAAAAACAGGTGCAACTATTGAACACATTATGGCCTTTCATCGTGACAAATGCAGAATTATCCTGTAGGCATCCCCACCAGAGCATACAGGATGCAGAGATGAAACAGCAGCACATAAGCAAACCAGCCATGGCTGGGGGTAGGAGGCAGGAACTATAGCAAACAGGAGAATACAAACCTCCAAGAATCTGAAATAAATGAAGTTTACTGTAAAGATAAGTATTTTAATTTTTAAAAGTGATCAAAGGAGAAATGGAGCCATAATGAAAGAATAGAAGAGTATGAAGAAAAAGCAATTGGAAGATTAAAAAAAACTTCTTAAAGTGAATGATATGGTCATTGAAGTTAAAAAAACCATCAGATTAGACACAGTTCTAGACCAAATTTGTGAATTAGAAGATAAATCAGGAAAGTTTCTAAAATGCACCAAGTGGAATAAATGGAAATTAGGAAAGTGTTTAGGAGTCATAGAGAAAAAAAAATGAGAAGATGTATTAGGAAACCCAGAATGGAGGAATATTAGAATGGGAGAGGAAAATAAAAAAGATTTGCAAAGAATAATGACTTTTGAAAAGATAATGGCTGAGAATTTCCTAGAATTGGAAGAAAGCCAAACAGTTTTGAAGCAGAAGAACAAGATGAGGGAAATCACCTATCGGGTATCCAGACATATGACAGAGCTGTGATAATTAAGGTGATGTGTTATGAGTCCAGCAATGGACACAGGGGCCAATGAATAAAGTCAAGGGCTTTAAACAAACATGTGGCAGCTTATACTTTACAGAAAAGATACTACAAATCAGTTGGAAATGACAAGGTATTCTGTAAACTGTGCTGAGAGAGGCCCTGTCTTGTCTCTTGACCCATCCACCCCTCTCCCTCGCCCCCAGCAGCTCCAAGTGAGCTGCCCAGACGCTGTCTGACCTCCCCTCCCCAGAGCTGCTCTTCCCTGCTGCCGCCGAGGGTCTCAGGGCAAGTTTCTAGGTCAAAGAAGTTTGAGAAATGCTGAATCCGTTTCCTCACTTCTTTTTTTTTTATTTCTTTTTTTTGTAATATATTTTTTATTGATTTCAGAGAGGAAAGGAGAGGGAGACAGATACATCATTGATGAGAGAGAATCATTAATTGGCTGCCTCCTGCCGGCCCCACAATGAAGATTGAGCTGGCAACCCAGACATATGCCCTGACCGGGAATTGAACCATGACCTCCTGGTTCATAGGTCAACGCTCAACCAGTGAGTCATGCTGGCTGGGTCCCACTTCTTTTTTAAAATAGATTTTCATTGATTTTAGAGAGGAAGGGAGAGAGAGAGAGGGAGAGAGAGGAAGGGAGAGTGAGAGAGATAGATAGAAACATCAATGATGAGAATCATTGTTCGGCTGCCTCCTCACTTCCCAGACAAGATTGAGCCCGCAACCAGGCATGCTCCCTGACTGGGAATTGAACCATGAGCTCCTGGTTCATAGGTCAACGCTCAGCCACTGAGCCACGCCGGCCGGGCTTCCCCACTTCTTGTAGATTTGGTGTGCGTTGGACTAGTAACGACCCGGAGAGTCAGTAAGGAAACCTGTTCATTCCTTCAGTGTCCTTCTGGAAAGAGTGTTCGCACCCATGGTCTTCCGAGACTGCTGGGGAAACAGCCTGATGGGGAAATTCAGCGCCTGCAGTCATCGTGGTGCTCGGGGCCTTCCACAGTCTGGGCACCGCTGGGCTCTTCAGGCAGGTCTCCCACCACTGCCCGTGTGCGGCGAAATCACAGCCGCTCCGTTCTGGAAAGTTCTGACCTCATGCTGTTCTCACTGCCTAGGATGGCCTCTCCCACCCTGTAAGACTCTATTCCACTGTCGTGGTCCACTCAGGACACATGGCTTTCTGTGAAGACTTCCCCGACCCTCATCAGGTGGAATCAGTGCCACCACAGCTTCGTTCCCATCACCTGAATGAGCCGTTTGGTGTGACGGCTGCTGTCAGTCAGGCCTGAGTCTCTCCTATTGGTCCCCGTGGCTTCGGGCACACCTGCTCGCCGGGAAACTGGAACATCATCGTGGACCTGGCTGCTGTTCCCACCGCTGGGCCCACCACCCTTCCTGGCATCCACTGACCCAGGGGCCCACTGCCACCCCAGTGTGGTCTCGGAGGGCAGGGCGGCCTCTGCCATTGGGCCACGGAGCCATGCTGTTCCTGCTGTATTATGGCCAAGTGTGACAAAGGTTTCTAAATGCTGGAGAGACCTCTCATTTCACGGTAGCACAGGGTCCGGCCACCTGTCTGCCACCAGCCATCTGGCTCCCCCAGCTCTTTCTCCGGTGAGGTGAGGCGATGTGAGGCCTGGTCCAGGAGACGGGGCAGAGGGCCCTGGCCGGATGGTGATGAACTTGGGCTACTTCCATGTCCCGTCCCCCCAGGAGCCACTTCTGTGTTGAATCCCGATTCATTATTTGGACATCATTTTTAAAAATTCTATTTTATGAATATATAGATATTTTTATTCTCTTTTTTCCTCAGAGGCAAGAGGAGAAATAACATTTATTAAGAACATTCTAAGTGCGGGCGCGGTAGGAAGTGCTTTAACTATCTTAACTATAATATTTTTACATTTATAGGCATACCCCGTTTTATTGCGCTTTGCTTTATGGTGCTTCGCTGATACTGATTTTTTTTTACAAATTGAAGGTCAGACCTTCCACCAGCAAAAAGATTCTGACCTGCTGAAGGCTCAGATGATGCGTAGTGTTTTTATCAAGAAAGTATTTTTTAATTAAGAGAGATGCATTTTTAAGCATAGTGCTATTGCACACTTACTAGGCTATAGTACAGTGTAAACAATGTGCACTGGGAAACCAACGGATTCGCATGATGAGTTCTATCACGATACTCCCTTTATTGTGATGGTCTGGACCCGGCCACCTTGTCTCCGAGGTCGGCCCTGTACACTCTGTAAGCACACAGCTGCCTCAGAAATGAGGCCTCATTCACCAGGGTAGCCAGTCCCTTCAGGGGTAGCAGGTCTATGTGTCAGTGAACACGCAGCCACAATGGATGAATTTAGTCCATGAAAACTAATTCCCACGTGTGCTGTTTTATCATTTTAGGGCCACTTTAACCATTCCGAGAATCAGTAGAAGATGGGAGACGGAAGAGGAATATTCTGAATTTGGTTTGGAACCTCCGTGTGATGGCGAACGTAACCCTCTTACGGATGGGTGTGGGTGCACACCTGTGCTCTCATCCAGGTACCCCACCGCCCTCCGCAACCCAGCCAGGAGGACCCTGTCACTTCCAGAGAGACTGCAGATCGCTTGCACCTCCTGAGCCGTCTCCCCATGCGTCCTGGGGGGAAGGAGGGCGATTGTGTCATTGGGACGTTTGAAAACTTCAGTTATCAAATTTCCTATGAGGCTGGAGAACCCTGTGGCTTCTGGAACCAAATCCAGATGCGGCCTCCCTTTTATACTTTGCAGTGGCTTTGTGGGTGTGTCGAGGGCTGCCCATGCATTCTTTTTAATGAAAAGACTTATTTTTATACTTAAATGCCTTATAATCTTAAACTGAATTTTACCAAATGCTGGTGTCCAAGCCGTTCTGTGTGATTCTGCCCCTGAAGTTCATCGGGCACAGAGCCCCTTTGACATTAAATGGCAATTTCTCATTTTCTCTTGGGTTTTCGATGTCTCGTCTGGCTGCGGAGACTGGTGTCACTTTCCCTGAGTCGGAGGCTTCCCGGGGTGTCCCCGTCACCTAGGACAAGGCCCTCACAGTGGAGCTGGTTACGGGGTTGCTCTCGGTCCTTCCCCTTCCCGCACCAGTGGCGGACGAAGCCCCTGAGCTCAGGTGATTGCATGGCGTTACCCACGTGGCTGGTTCTCTGCCGGCCACCAACCCTCCGCCCTGGGCTCTGAGGGGCCCGAACCACAAGCGCCCGCAGTGTGTGGTTGTGGAGGGATTCACGTTGGAGAGACGGACCGAAGGGGACAGGGAGCCGGAGGACACTGATAAATGCCGTCTGTGATGTGGGCTCTCAGAACCACTGGAAAGGAAGCTGACACTCCAGCCGAAGCCAGTGGCCAAGGCAGTGGCGGGAGGAAGAGGGGGCATGGAGGGTGCAGGTCGTGGGGGAAGGGGTGCCTGCTTCCAATTGGCCTGTCACCCCTGGCCAGTGGATAGGGTACCCACAGACTGGGGCTCCATCCTTGGCTTTGGTGGGTGGGGCCAGGGAAGGGACACAGCCAGACCAGCCTCCCTCGTCCTGCTGTCCTCCAGCTCGGAGAGGGAGCGGGACAGTCAGTGGTCCACAGAGATGGAGGCAAAAACAAACCCATTGTGCTGAGCCTGAGGGTGACGCATAGAAGAGAGAGCCAGGTCCTTGGGAGGATGCTGCAGGCGCCTCTGGGAAAAGCGGAGCTTTGGAGGCCCTGGGCCTCCCCATTACCCACTATTTCCCTACCAAGCACCCAGCGCCCCCCCCCCCCCCCAGGCCTTGAACAGACCCTCAGGTGTCCTGAGTGGACCCAGGATGAGAGAGAGCAGATTGCCTTCATCACCCACGCAACAGCTATGACGCCAACGAGGTAACATAGCGAGCGCTTAGGTGCAACCAACATTTCTCTGGCACGGCCTTTGACAGACCCCTGATTCCCATGACGACACGTGGGCATGTGCCAGCCTCGCCCACTTTACACACGGCACCAGGTCCGGGGAAGCTGTGCCATCTGAGGCCACTCCGCCGGTTGGAGGGCTGCTCTCAGAGCCCACCTGGGTAGCAGCAGGAGTCTAGGCCACTCCGAGCTGTGACGTGACAAGCCAGGTGACCATCGTGGACGGAAGGCGCGCCTTTTCCTTGCAAACACCTGGGTAAGAATGTGTGTGCCTTTCCTTGCAATCAAAATACTGCCTGTTTCTAGAATGCAGAGCCTCAAAAAGCAAGGGTGCGCACACACACACACACACACACACACACACACACACCCTGAGAGGGGATGGACACTGCCCACCGCCCTACCCTGGCAGGTAAAGGGACTCCCCTGGGGAGACAGAAGTGGCCTCTTTGGGAGATGGGGAGCCCCCACGGTGCGGAGGTGCGATGATTCAGTCAGGCTCTCATCGGCTCGCTGTGTAGCGGGTGCTGGGCGGGAGCCGCTGGAGCTGCCTGTGGCCTTGCGGCTCCAGAAACTCGCCCAGCCCGTCACAGGGGCAGTGGCAGCAGCGCCGTCGTGACTTCTGCGGAGATGGCAGCTCTACACGTGGAAAGGAGCATGGCCGGCTTCCTCTCTGCAGTATGTTTCCCCGGAGAGACCACCACCATTTGATCTATTTTTGATTAAAATGTAAAAATTAAAAATTAAATCAAATGGTGTAACTCCTTGGGGAAAACACACTTGGGTTATGAAGTATTCCCCACAGTAACCTTGAGACTCTCCGGCAGCACTGTCTCATCCGTGGGTGGTCCATGTATGTCCCATGTAATTAAAATGAATCGCCTGCCTTCCCATGTATGGACGGTGGGCTGGTGCCGCCGGAGCAGGTCCTGGTGGCAGAAGCGCCGGCGGAGGGGACAGGTGGTGCTGCCCAGCCAGCCAGGACCCCACGGGTGTCCAGCACGGCCCCTTCCCCTGCCAGCTCCCCGGTGCGGTCTCACCCGGCCATCGACGAGGGTGCGCACCGCCCCTGCTCTCGCAGCCTAAGCGCCTTTCATGTAACCTCACAGTGACGGGCACGGCCCCAGAAACAAAGCAGGCGCCATTGGCTTTCCTAGGAAAATGTGCTTTGCAGAATCCAATCTAGGACCTATTTGTATCCGACGACTTCGTCCGTCTGCCTCGGCATCCGGGAAAGCCTGCGCTTGATGGGATCAGGGCAGGCGCCTGGCAAATGAGATGCCAGTATTTGCATCCATGCTGCCCACGGGCATGCCCCATGCCAGCGTGACGGGATGTGACTGAGTCGTGGCTTTCTCTCCACTCGTATGGGCTGTGCCTGCACATGGGTGGCTGCCTAGTGACACTTTCCTGTCTGCTTTCGTGATGCCACCGGATAAAGACGTTTCTGGAGTAAAGGGTTTCGCGCGGCACAGCAACACTGGCATCTCTAAGCGAGTGAGTGTGTGAGGGTGCCGGGCCCAGGGTGGCCCCAGAAACGCTGAGCCCAGTGTGTGAGGGCCCCGGGGTCCTGGCTGCTCTGTCGTCAAGTGCACACGAGTGGGGCCCACGCCGTTTTAATCACCAGCCAGGGTCAGACATTTGACTCATACATTTCCCTCTGGTCTCGGAGGTTCTGGCAGCAGGTCTGGCTCGTGCACATGGCTAGCTTCCAGCTAACCCAACCCAATAAATAGTGATTCCCTAATCGAATCTGATACTAGTTCAAGTTCAGTTTCCTCCACGTGATGCGGTCCCACCCTCCTTCCCGGGGCTTCTTTCCTTCCTTCGTGGCCACTTTCCTGCTTTCTCACCTTTGCATGTCTCCTCCGGTGAATGCCACGTGCCTGAAGACGTCTTCCCCGTGACAAAGGAGAAGTTCTGAACTGGAAACCAGTGGGTGCCCGGAGCCCCCTCGGGCCCTCCTGTCACCCGTGGGCTGGACACCTCAGGACCCTCACCCTCTCCCTGTGCCTGTACCTGCTGGAAGCTGGCACTGCCTGCCTCTCCCTGTCAGGAAAGAATTAAAGACAACATCTAGGGTAGGAAGCAATTGTGGAGGGTGCAAGTTTCTGGCCAGGCAAATAAATTGGATTTAAGTATATTACAGTCATAATCTTTTTCTGCCTCTCTCCAGACGGTCTCTGTACATGGAAAAATGAGAATGTATTCGCAGACACAGCGTGACCTGAGGGAGAAGCCTGCCGGAAGCTGGATTTTCAATAACATAAGACAATAAAGCTTAGACGCCTAACCTGCTGCAATATGGTCAGAGCATAAAGAGCTTAGCTGCTAATAAAAGGGAAGGGGCTTCCCCTCCCGCCTGACGACGCGGACCCCCCAGAAGGACACTTCATAAAGATCATAATGGGTTAGCTGGGATCACGCAGACACGGGGCCCCTTGTTGACCGATTGTCTGACACTTGTCACCTATGGGTCTGATATTAATAAGTTCCGTGTTGATTTCCTTGGGGTATTTTTGTCCCTGTAATTGCACACCTTCCTGTGGTGACCCTACGCGGAGTGACATGTGGGCTACAGGTACCTGATGGCGAGATGCATATGCGTCACTCTCTTCTTTCCGGGCTGTGTCCACCGTGCCATGGCACCTCCCTCGGTGGGCAGAGGACAGAGCCAGCTGCCCCTCCCTGGAGGCCAGCCATCCCACCTTCTCCCACAGCGGGGGCAGTTGGTGAAATTCAGGATCCGGAGTGACTTTCCTCTGAGTGTGTTTTCTTACTTTATCAGGAGATTAATGGTTGCCAAGCTGATCCCCAGGCAGTGTAATTGAAGCAGATTTCATGAATGTACTGGGTGAGTATGATGCATAAATACAGCCGGGAGAGGGGCAGTGCTTGGATACAGATGTTCTCTGACCTGTGAGATGTCACTGAACCAGCGCATGGCTGCAGAGAACTGTGACATCACCCACACTTCCTGCCTGTCTACCCCTTCCCGTGGGGCAGAGGGCCTAGGCCCTGCCCCCACCCCACAGCCTCTCCACCTGGACTGTCTGGTGGTGCCAGGCTGGTCCATGCCTTACTTATCCTGTGCCAGGCTCTTCTCTTTCATCTGCAATTTAAACTGATGTTGAAGCCAAGTTTTCCAGAACATTCCACTTCTGCTAATTCCAGGCGTTGCTTCATCCCTTGAGCTGCATCTTGGAGAGCCTGCACCATTCCACGGGGACGCATCTCTGTTGAGGTTTCATTTCCGGGGCAGTCCCTAACCAGGAGAGGTGCATATGGGAGGGCTGATGCTCCTGGAGACCCACACTGCATGCCCGGCACTGCCGTTCTCCGGGGACCCCATCCTGGTCCACTTGGAGAGGGAGCAACACGGTACAGCGTGCCCTCCGGTGGGCTGCATGCCTACCTCATGGCCAAGTCCCACCGAGGGGATGCGGGACACTTCCACCCTGATTCACAACACTTACGGAGCTATGTGGGTTTCTCCCTTTGATTGTCAAATACAGACCATGGAAACGCGGGTGCTCACAGGAACCATGTGGCCATGAGGCAGCTGACGAGGAGAAGGGGAGGGAGCTGCTTCCCTCGGTGAGGCATAAGGCAGGGCTTTTAGAAACATCCAAGCCCTGGTGTCAGGGGACTTGAGAGGGAGCAGCCTACCTCTGGGTCAGGTACTGGGGCTCCCAGGTGTCAATGCTGAGCCACCGACAGGCCCACAGAACCCTCCAGCCACAGTGGCAACTCTCCCATGGTGCTTATGGTTCTGTGATGGGAGGTCCTGAGGCCTGTGGATGGTTCCTACAGCTTATTGGGCTCAGAAGGCCAGAGCCCAGGACCAACATGGGCTCCTGGTCAGAAGGCCTGGAGTGGGAGAGTACCATCAGGTTTGCCAGCCATGCCCTCCATGACTGATCTTCCTGAGCTTCAGTGTCCTCCTCAGAATATGGGATAACAGGTGCCATTGGGCAGATCAACTGAACTCAGTGCAGCTTTTTTATTTTTTAAGAATAGTTTGTTGACTTTTAGAGAGAGGAAGGGAGAGGGAGAGAA